AAGGTATGGTTTTTTTGGGGAAAAACAGCCGGAAACCCGAGTACTGTTTGCAAGAAGAGCATTGTGTGTGTGTGTGTGTGTGTGTGTTTCTGTTGTGGCGTGATTGAGGTTGCGGCGGGGGCATTCTTCCCACCGGTGCAGCTCGAGATGGTTTTGGGCCTTGCTTTGTGTTGTCGGGGTAGGGGCGGGGTTTTTGCTGTTCTTGGGACCCGGATGTGTGTTGTGTTGGAATTGTCTTGTGCCTTTTGCTGTTGCGACGGCGGTAAGTCCTACTTTTCGTTGCCGCTGTTTGGCTATTGTGGCGGGCAGGTGTCTTCTGGGGGCGGAAGGGCCGTTGATGACTTGCTGGCTTGCCAGGACTTCTGTTGCCGTGCACAACTAAGCTTGAAAGAACGACCAGCACTAATCATGCTCATCCCATGCTCCAACTTACGAATGTGCACTATACAGTATTAACCCAAACCCTAAAGTTCCCACAAACCCGAAAGTTCCTAGTTCCTAAAGCCTCAAACAACCGCCCTCCCGTCCTTTGTGCAGCTGCCCATCCCGGACGCAGGAAGCCCGGAACTTCGTCAATGCCCTAGGGTGCCGGGTTTCCCCAAAGGCTCCATTGTGGTTCCTATTTGGGATGACCGTATAGGATTCTAAAATATGAAGCCCCAAAAAGGAACTATTATGGAGCCTATGGGTAGATAGAGCTTAGGGTTTAGGGTTGAGGAGCCGTAAACCCCAAAACCTCAAGTTGAGGGTTGAGGAGTTGGGGTTCAGCCGTTTCGAGCTTAGCCCCAGCGAGCGACCAGGATACCCGACTCAGACAGCTTGAAGTACCTTGTAAGGGTTTAGGGTTTAGGGTTTAGGGGTTTAGGGGTTAGGGGGTTTAGGGGTTTAGGGGTTTAGGGTTTAGGGCATCTCGTATTCCTCATTCACAAGTAAGTGTGGACATGCAAACATACAGTGCAGTTAGGGTAGTTAGGGACCCATGTACGGTGTATACCCTGAGCGCCCTAAGCCCTAAGCTGTAACCTCCATACACTTTGCAAGCCGTATAGACCCTAAACTTTAGCCCTACACCGTTTTACAAAGCGCGGAAAAAGATTTTAGGGCTTAGAATGTCGAGAGCTGCCAAAAGCAGAAGACCCTACCATCTGCATGAAAAGCCCCAACTAGCAGCAGGCCCAGCATACTTTCAGGATCCCGAAATGGGGGTACCTGCGGAAATTAATCAAAGACCTACTTCTGAGTCGCGGGTTTGTTTAGGGTCGGGTCAGGATGCCAAGGAGCCCCTTAACCCTACGAAATCCCTCACTAAACCCTGCGCAGCCCTTATAAAGAACTAGTGTAGCTTTGACTCCTTTGCCTCGGCTATGGGGTTCATTAGGACCACTGTAAGGGGACCTACTGCTACTCCTACTACTTCTGCTTCTACTTCTACTACTAGGGAGTCGGGGTTTAGGGTTTTTGGGCATGTAAGGGTTTTGGGCTTCGGAGCTTCAAGGCCTTTACGGTCCTAGTCTTAGGGCTAGATCTAAGGAATAGAAATTCAAGGTTACGAAGTTAAAGGGTCCTGGTCTTAGGGCTAGATCAAATGGTCAGAATTGAATTTTTTGCAAATTTACGAAAATTGAAGCCGCAAGGAAGACAGCACACTATGCCCGTCTTGCAACGAAACGTGACATCTGTGCAAGGCAACTACCATGTGCACGAAGCCTGCAAAGAACTCCCTCCACCCTAAGTTTGCTCCAATAGATAGCCCATATCTTTGTACCGACCCGTACATCGCCAGACTGTTGGCCTAGGCCGCAAACCTGATGTAGTGTACCCAATCTACATCGAATGCAATCAGGACGCTAAACGACAAGTGCTCCCACATGACTGCCGGAGCCGTGCACTAGATATACACCCTCCAGGCAAACGGGTGTACTCTACCCAGAGGGTTCAAAGTACCTCTAAGGGGGATACGTAGGGTCTCTTCATAGGCCCCCTAGACAATACAGCACCCTTACAAAAAGGACTAACAGGGACCCCTGGTTTAGGGAATTACCCATGTGGGTACGTTAAGAACGGTTTAGGATTTAGGGTTTGGGGTTTCAGCTGGCCTCACAGGAAGCCCCGATAGTTCGGCTGCCTCGCCTGAGGGCACCGAGGTTCTACGGGCAGTGGTTTTGTTCGTCGTGTGCATCATACACACACACACACATACACGTATGCACACATGCGTATGCTTGCACATATGTACACACATACCTGTCTGTGTGTTTACGATTAGGTATATAGCCTTGGAGTACTCTGGCTCTCTCTCTCTCTCTCTCTCTCTCTGTATATATATATATACACATATCTATGCATAGAGAGAGAGAGAGAGAGAGAGAGAGAGAGAGAGAGAGAGAGAGAGAGACTCTCTCTCGCTTTATCAATGCTTTTTCTCGGGGGCGGTGGGGTTCGGAATTTAGGGTCGGTGCCGGATTTAGGGTATAGGGGCTTTAACCAGATTCAGGTTATAGACCGTATAGGGGTCTTAACAAACTCTAAGAGGGTTTCGGGTTTAGGGTATATAGGGGTCTTAACTACTTAGAGCAGGGATTCGGGTGTAGGGTACAGGGGCCTGAGCTAACCAGAACAGGATTTCGGGTTTGGGGTAAAGGGCCTTCAAGACTTCTTGCGGGGTTTAGGTCTTAGGGCTTTTGGAGTTGGGGCAGAGTATAGTCTAACCGTCTACGAGAGCTCCAAGGAATAGTAGTAGTAGTAGTAGTAGTAGTAGTAGTAGTAGTAGTAGTAGTAGTAGTAGTAGTAGTAGTAGTAGTAGTAGTAATTACTGAGGCACCCAGATTACCGCCACAGTCCATGCACCCAAATAGCATATGCTTTGGCCCCAAAGTACCTAAATAGGGACTACATGTAGCCATTGGGATTATGTAGGCCGGGTGGGTTTACAGTACAACCTTTGAAGCGCGGCGTGAGATAAGCTGCGTCCCCAGCAGAAGGCGACGAGCCGCAAAAAGATTACAGGATACCTTAACCTACCAAACCCTACTTTTTGTAGGTTCTTATTATAAACCCTAATACGGATTTTATAGGGACCCTACAAAACAGTAGGTTTTGGTAGGTTAAGGTACCTCTCTACTAGCTCACAGCAACCTAGATTGGAACCAAAACAACCTACATGAGCCCACGACAACCTTGAATCCCTAAACAAGCCCTTTTATAAGGTTTGTATATTGCTTTGGGCCTGAACCCCTATAAACCCTAAACGAGCCCAACACAATGATACAACCCCTTATAGAAGGCCTTGTTTCGGGTTTAGTGTTTAGGGTTTCGGGAGCTCTTCGGCCTGTGCTCACTGGCAGTTGAAAGCGCAACCGCTCTCGAGTTTGTTTTTGTTACGGGCCTATTTCTATTACCGCAGAAGAGTTTAGGGTTAAGAGTTTTAGGATCTGTACCCTAATTAAACCGTAGACCCCGGCCCTAGACCATGTTGAAGGAAAAACCCACTCCCGGACCCCCGGAAGGCTTTGGGGAACATGTTATGTATCCGGCGCATCTGATTTCAGTTTCTGGCGCATAAACTTCGAATGATTCGGAAGCAAGGCACAGTGCCATTTTGGTTCATGAATGCAGGCAAGGAGGGTCAATTTACTGTCAAGTAGGACTTCTACTACTAGTCCCCCGCCCCCCCCCCCGCCCAATAACACTCCAAATACTAGACACTCACCCCATCCAGAAGCTCATCATGCACTCACCAAACACTATTGAATCTTAAGCCCTCTATACTAGACACTCACCCCATCCAGAAGCTCATGATGCACTCACCAAACACTATTGAATCTTAAGCCCTCTTTCAAATCACAGACCACCGTTCTCAGGGGAGTATTGTAACTATACTGAACTTATAAAGTTGCAACAATTGTCATTTTAGGTGTCTCTCAGGGGTTATAGTAATAGCAGCCATGGGCCAAAAAAGCCAAGAATTGACTGAAAGTACCCCTACAGTAACTGAAAACCCTAAAGTGAAGGACTCATAGGCCCTACCCTAAACTCCACATGAAGCCCGCAAACCCTAAACCCTGCTTGAAACTCTAAATCCTAGAATAAGGGTCTCATAGTCTTGCCAGGGTCACGGTGCAAAGCTCGCGCAGCCGGCCACGCGTCGGCCGAAGCCACTGCGGCCTTCGCACGGTTCAGGGTTAGGGCTTTGGGGTTTTAGTCGAATTCGTAGTCGTAGAACACTTGTGCATGCTTCCATATTTCCGTAACAGACGGAACAAAAGAGGCAATAAACTTCGTCAAAGCCCAGCAGCAAACACTGGACGAAATCATGCAAACAGCAACGAATATTCTTGAGTAGCCGCGCCAAAACATGATGGTTTGGCATTCGTTGTTGATCACGGAACCCAGATCCGAACAATTGTTGGAATCACCGATCCTATGCATAAGAGGCGGTGGCTGGCACATAGAAAGACTTAAGTTGTGCCGAATCGCTGCGACACATTGAGCAGGAGGTCGTTGTTCCACTACGCACGTACCAGGCACGGCGCTGCGAGTAGCAATCAATGCCCTGACGACCGTGGCCGCTCTCAATCTTAAGCTGCACCTGCCGTCGGTCTTTTTTGTCCGTCTCCCTTTGCGCTCTTGGTGTCGACAAAGATTTACGAGCGGATTTGCGTGGCTAGGTGCATACAGCGCAAAGAACCCCTCTGGGGTGGCACCGTGGTGTCGGCGATTTATCGGCGCACTTGCCGAAGAAGTAGCCAGCGGCAGCCATGTGCCCAAATTTCCAAGGTCCATGTACTGCAGTTACAATTTACGGACTCAGACCCCAGCAGTATCTGAAGGCCTGTAAACGCTAGCATGTATACATCGGACCTGTGGGCATAAAGATGCCAGGCTGCAGCCCGTTGGCAGGAGCACATGGTGCATTTACAAAAAAATGAAAAAGAACGACGATTGTTATCCTATATCCTGAAACTTTAAGCCTCTATCAGTAGCGAGTCTGCCGCTTGGCGTCAGAAGGATGACCGGGCCAGCACATAGAAAAGGACCAGTGCCCAGAACAAGGACACGAGCATGAACCTGTACGGTGTGGGAAGGGTGGGGGCACTGTTTACGGGGCTGCACCACGACAGCATGAGACACCCACAGATAGTAGGCATCCAGGTGCCAAAGCATCTCGAAGCCCGAATCCAAAAAAACAAACCCCAAGGTGATTCACATCAAACACTGAACCCTTAGCACGAAACAGCGGCCCAGCAGCACGGCATGGGCCAGCAACGAGTTCGGCATGAAGAAGATGTAAGAACCTAGGTGTCGATTTCATCAGCACCGAAAATGTTATTAGTCAGGTGTCTATCTCAACCCACTTACAAGGACAGCAAAACAAATCTCCCAGGTCATTACCTAGGCACCTTGTTGGAGAACGAAGGGCATAAAGCAGCTGAATATGCCTCCGAGGTTGACAACGATGCCACGCAGGAGCCAACGCTCACCTAAGCACGGATCAGAACCTCTCTCGAGGCGATTTCTAGCTGGTTTGATATAGGGGCCTTACTTAATAAGTAGAATAGGGTTTTGGAGCCCATTGTACTATCATCATATTACAGAATCCTAAGGAATAATATTGGTAATTACTTATTTAGGCTTCTGTAGTAGGTGGTTTAGGACCTACGGTTTGGGTCTACGCACTGTAGGCCAGTGTTAGTCCATAGTCCGCGAGACCTCTCTAGTTCTGCAATGCAAGCAGTTGATTGAAGTCTAAAGCAAACGAAATCCTGATTTTCCAGACTATGAGAACTGAGAACCTTAACCTCAAGCCACCAAAGCCCCTGTGATCAGACTCGTAAGCATTCCTGAAAACCAAGCTTAGGCGCTGAGGGGTAGTATATAATGTGCCTACGGCCGGGAAACTTCCCTTAGCCAAAACTCGCAACCGTGCATCCAGAACAACCGAAAAATCCCTATGATAGGTGTAGTTCTCTGAAGCAGGGTCCCTTTTAGGTGTCCTTTTTTTATAAGGATGCCGTATTCTATGGGGGACCTAAAACCCAGAGGGTCCATATATACTATCATTATGGAATTGGGCCCCCAAAGGCCATTCATATTGTGGTTTTGGGGGGCCTTATTCCATAGTAGTAGTATAAATGGACCCTCTAGGAAAGGGGCCTTAACTTAGAGAATGACCGAAACCACGCTGAGCCTCGACTCTTGGCCTGCCACATGGCCATCCTCACAGCTTCTAGACCTATTTAAAGGATCATGGGACTTAGCAAGTAGGGTTATAAATAAGATAACTATAAATACTTATAAGTACTTGAAACCCTTATTAAGGCACTTAAAACCCTACTTACTAAGTCCCATGATCCTCCAAGTAGACCTAAGAGTAACCTAGGAATAAAAAGGGTGCCCTTCTTGGTTTCAACAAGTTTTATAAGAGAACCTAAACCCTAACACAGGGAATAAGGGCCTACTCTGGGTCCTACAGACTGATCCGTGGGCCCTTTGGTTTTGAGAGCTTGTGCCTCTAGGGGTTTTGGGGTTTATATAGCCCTAAGGGTCCATGTACCCATATAGCATATACTTTGGGCCCAATGTACATATTATATAGGGAGTACTTTAAGGCCAATGTATCTACTAGATGAGTACATGGACCCTTAGGGTAGGGCTGCTGGGCCTCACACCCTAAACCCTCAACCTCGCGCGCAAAGAACACCAAGCTTCTTTGGTAGTTTCCGACAATACGGGACGCTGAGATAGTACTCTAAATAGTAGGATCCTTATTATTAGGGCCCCTAAATTAAGGTACCCTTGATTTGGGAAACTCCCATTTGGCTTAAAAGGCTAGGGGTTTGGATCTTTTGGCTGCAGGGTACCGAAGGCTTTACCCCGTTCAGGTCTCCAGAGCCCATGCAGCGTTTCAGGGTTTTCCGTATCTTTAGAAACCATGCACATACTATGTGGTGGGGACGGATCGCTGATATGAAAGGGCTGAAAGATGCGAAATCAGAGGCTGGTTCACATGAACTCATTCGTTGCTTCCCTCGTTTACTTCCCAACGTTGTGTTTCCGGCCGCTGGACCTGCCATGATCCAGCCCCACTACTCAAGCTTCTTGGGAGCATTTAATGAGTTGGGCTTCGAGGCGCCTCACCCTAAGGCCCCATAGTAGTTCCTTTGTGGGATTACTTAGAAGCTGCCTGCCCCACCCTGTAATAGTGGTATAATAGGAATATAATAGGGCCCTAATATAATCCTTATAGTCACTATTACAGGGTGGGGGCAGCTTCTAAGGGATTACCTTCTGGGATTCCAAATATGAACCACAAGAAGGAACTACTATGGGGCCTTAGGGTAGAGAGGAGGCCTTGAAAGGCTTGTAAATGCCAAGTCGACGGGCTTGGGCTAACCCGAACAACCCGGCTTCTGAAATATGGGTTTAGGGTTTATAGGGAACTCCAGAAAGTTGGAATATGGTTTCAGGGTAGGATACCTTATAATTTACCATAAAGGGCTTAGGATAATCATATTCCAACTTTCTGGCTTTTACTTTAGGGATTAAGGAATTCTCCAGGTCCCTAATCCTAACGAACCAAGCCACCGAAGGTCCGGGAACTTCATGTAAAGGAGCCCCAAAAGAGTCAGGCTTTAGGGTTACTAATTCGGAGCCCGACGCCGGGAAGAGTCTATCCTTCAGTCACTTCGAATCTGTTTTCAATATTACTCAGTCACTTCGAATATTATTCATACTGCAAATACTAATAATACTATTAATACTACGAATACTAGGAATACTATTAATACTACTAGTACTATTAATACTACAAATTTGTTTGGCGCTTCCCCACACTAATTACTAATCAGCCCCTCACATCACGATTGTGCCTCGCAAGGGCAATGTACTGGACGGGCGTAATCCAAAAGGTCCATGCCACACCTCACAGGGGCGTATAGTCCGAGGGGCTTTAATTGTTCAGGGCTGTTGAAATGACATCCACATTTACCGTATTCCGAATGTTCGACGGTATTGGAACCCTAGGTTTTCCAGTGTCTGGCTGCTCAGTTGAATTCCTGTTCCCGCTTCCTATGGCGAGACAGATGTCCTGTGTTCGGGACTTTTCTCGTAATGGCTTCATTTTACTTGCTTTCATAATGCACGCTTCTTACTTGTTATTCTGGTTTTGACGGTGCTTTTATCTGCTTGCTGTTTGGGGCTAGGGGCTTTCGGGTTCGGGACTGCATCAGTCACTTGACTTGCAGCGGCCCCAAGCCCAGTGATCCCTTCACCACCCGCCCATCCTGAACAAAGCATTCCAACCCTGAACCCTAAAATCTTTACCCCAAAACCCTATACCTCAAAACCCTAAACCCAAAACACCCTAAACCTCAAAAACCCTAAACCTTAAACACCCCAAACCTTTAACACCCTAAACCCTAAACCCGCCCATCCTGAACAAAGCATTCCAACTGCAAAGGCAGCATCGCCAGCATGGGCTCGAGACACAGCCTGGACTTTGAAGTAAACAGGGAGAAAAACCCAAAGGGTCCTAGGTACTGATATGGGGGACACTTCCCCAAATCATAAAAGACATGGTCCTAATATAGAAACCCTACATTCTACTATACTATATAGGTACTTTGGACCCTTTGGGAAAGTATAGACTCTCCCAAAGAGTCCGTTTACGCTACCATCATGGACATGGGGCCCCCAAAACCATAACAGGGATGGTCTTTTGGTACCCAATGCCATATTGGTTGTGTATAAGGACCCTCTGGGTCTTATTTCATAATGGGTTTCCTCTAAGTAACAGGTCCCCCCCAAAACAAAAACAAGTATGGTACTCCACAGCCCAGCAGCAATATCGAAGTGGCCCCAGAAAACAAAGGCGTTGAAGGTAACACTCCTCGGTTGACTCTTGCAAGCAGACTGGCATAATTGTGGCCACGAGCTGAAGTGCACATGTTGCCAGCCGAGGAGCCACCAATATCCCATGGGTATGCGCAGCAGCTGCTCCACGCAGATGTCACGCACGTCGGTGCTAACGAAGCCCTCGAAAGCCTCTATTGAGCCGAACCACCTACTGATGCAGGATGAAAGCAACTCCTTGTCACAGGGTATGGCGACTCCCTTTTCCTTAGATTGCTTGATGCTTCAACCGTGGATTTGGGGTTTAGGGCTCGGGGATCTAACGGCTTCAGGTTTTAGGGCTTTGATCAAAAGCTCTGTTTCAGGGCTTGACGCATTTAGGTGTTTAGGCTTAGGGCTTGCGCCAAACCATTAAATCTATTAAACTAGAGGCCAACCCCTATAAGCATAGCCTAAACCTCGAACTCTGTTTCAGAAGTGGCAGCCCAGCTGCCACGTGGTTCACTGAGCAGCAGTGGGACTGCACAGCAGCCCATGAGAAGGTCCGGCACTGCTCCTGCAACTACCCAAGTTTTTGGGACTTCCAGGCTGTGAAAATCAGAGTTTAAGGCTATCGGCGTAAGGTTTAGGAATGACTGGTGCTGCTTCTGGGACTTCAGGGGCTTGGAATAACGGCTTGGGGTTCTTGGCTTATGCGTTGATAACTCACAGCTTTGATCTTCAGGTCCTCCACCGTGAGGACGTTTTCGAGACATCGGCGAAAGACCCAGTTAAAAGTAATCGCCCAGAGCACCAGACAAACCAGCTTGCCATAGAGTAGCAGTCCATCCGATGGCAGGCTTATCCTGATTTCACCAAGAGAGATGACACATACTGCCATTCCGGAAACAATCCCAAAAGACCATCCGTAATATGCTCCTGAATTGTAGCAGCTAACGCAAGCACTATACTACAAAGTGTACCATAAGATACCTTCCTTCCTGAAATAGGAAATCATTTACGGCCCTTAGTATGTTGCGGCGCAAAGGCCTGAAATCCTTCCGTCCCAGGCTCTCGTAGGCCATCAGGAGAGATATGCCCGCAGTCATGACGAAAGTCAATGGTGCCAGGCCAAGCGGTTTGACCACCACAGGGATAGGCTTTGAGTTCTTGTGCCTGCCTGGGGATCGGGGTTAAGAGATTAAGGGTTTGGGCTTTAGGGATGGGTTTCGAGCTCCTGTGCCTGCCTGGTGTTTAGGATTTAGGAATTTAAGATTTAGGGTGTAGAGCTAGGCTTCAAGTTCTTATGCCTGCCTAGCTTGACCTCAGGGTGTGGGGTTCATTCCGCCAGAATCGTTTGACACATAGTTTCCACATCAGTTTGGGCCCTTACAAAGCCCCAGTCGTATACACCCCCCCAAATCCTAACACCTTAGAACCTAGAGCGCTTTACGCTAAGTTCCCGCGCCCTAGACATCAAGCCCTGAACTCTGAAACCCTCAACACCAATCCCCGAAACCCTCAACCCCCCTGAATCCATGGACTCTGAAAACCTAACCTCCCAAGGCCGTCTCACACCCGAAATCAACAAATCAGACTAGAAAACTGATGTTAAACGCACCAGTACCCCCAAACCCTAAAAACCTGAATGCCCAAACCCCCAACAAACCTGAAACCCTAAACCCTAAACCCTAAACCCTAAACCCTAAACCCTAACCCCTAAACCCTAAAAGCCTGAATACCGACAAACCAACATCAACAAAGCAAAAGAAACCTCTACTTTAGTGGCCTTATTAATTCGTTTAGGGTTTAGGGTTTAGGGTTTAGGGTTTTGGGTTTAGGTTTGCCGTTATAGCATACTACAATCATAATAAGGAGGCCCTCAAACCCCTATTCTAATTATTAAGGCCCTCATACTAAACCCTTATAGTAGCTTATAGTAGCCCTTATGGACCCCTGTAGAAGGAACCCCTTAAAGGAACCCTATTCCACTTATTGAGGTCCCTACACCAGAGCCCAAAGTTTCTCCAATATGCCAAAGCTGCTCAAAAAGGCGGCAAGTTCAAAAACACACCATGCTCGCGACCTTCGACTGGGTTTATTGTTTAGGGCAGTCGGTTTCGTCTTTTTTGGTGGGTGAATTAGGATATGTGTGATGGGGGGTGCTTGACAAGCTTGGGTGTCGGAATTGGGGTTACGGATGATGCGACTTTCTTGGCTTTTGGGCTTCTTTCAACCGTCTAGGTGCGACCAGAACCATATGGACTGTGAATAATCGCCCAGCACCTAGGAACACCGCTTAGTCTACATAATTTATAGGTCTAGGTAGGGTTTACACTTGACAAACTACACTCGAGAAGTGTCCTCCCAAAGCATGTATGCATGCATGGCGCGTAGCCGGGTGCCGAAGCCATTGTGAGAGAAATCTCCTATGCAGCTCCTCCTTTGGCCAAGGATCTCTCACAACTCTCGCAAAATTTCCACCCATCTTCGGGTATGCGGTTTAGGGTCTGCGAGGCAGGAAGCTTAGAGAGTTTATGGGCTTGCTCTACCCTAGAAAGGGGCCGGCGTGCGCCTGCGTGAAGCTCGAAGAACTGAGCTCCGGACATATACAGCCGATCCCAAACCACCACCAAAGACTTGGATTTCTCCAGGAACGCTGCGATGTTCACGACGCCTTCCGTCTTCAAATCTTGATCCGCCTGGTGTATGCATGCTCGATCCAGGAAAACCTGCGCTGGCTGAGCCCACGTGAAGAGCCGCTCTTGAAGAATCTAAAAACCTACTTGTCGGGCATCATGGGGAACTAAAGGTTAACCTTTTTGGTTATATAGGGATTTTTTGGTTATATAGGGATTTTTTGGTTATATAGGGATTATATATGGGCCATACTACCCAAAAAAGGTTAAAGGTTACCTACTCTACTACCAGGGAAAGCTCACGACTGGTGTTTGGCGGGGAGTATTGGAGGTTTGGGCTCTGCCTTTGAGACTTCAGGGTTCAGCGCCAGAAGCTTTAGGGTTTAGGGTTTAGGGTTTAGGGTTTAGGGTTTAGGGTTTAGGGTTTAGGGTTTAGGGTTTAGGGTACCTAGGGGTACCTTATTTTGGGGTCCTTATAATAAGGATCCTACTATTTAGGGTACTACAGTACCTATGGTCTCCATTGCAGTTCCTTTCTTTGGTTAACCAAACTTACAGTATAGGATCCTAAACATAAAATTGGCTAACCAGAAAAGGAACTACAATGGAAATGTAGACTAGGACTCAGGGCCCTAGTCTGGTAGAACTGCATTTTGGCCTCAAGCCGTCTTCTTGGCACTGCAGCTATCCTGCTATCCCTTCGGCTGCGGTTGCGCTTGCTAAGACTCCCAAATGCTGCACCATGTGACAACTTGTTTAGGTGAGCCTCATCGATTCACATTGTGTTCTTGTTGTGCATCCTCTTTAATGTGAGGTTTGCTGCCAAGTCACAAAATACCACGGTGAACCTCTTACAACAACACGCGCCTAAACTTGAAACCCTACTAAGCTTCCTAAAGCCCTAAACCAAAAGAATGAGGGGCCTGGTCGGAGGATGGCCAGTAGAGAAGTGTCAGGAAGAACGCAAGCAGTCCCCCACAAAGGCACCATGGGCTGGCTTTTAGCCTGGCTTCGGGGTTTCAGGCTTCGGGTTCATACTTTCGGGTTTATGGGCCATGGGGTTTAGAGTTTCGGGATTAAAGTTTAGGATCTTTAAGTCTTAGGGTTTAGGCTAAGGACGTATGTTTCGCTTTTCGGGTTTAGGGTTTAGTAGTTTAGCCTGCCTGCAGTTTTTCATGGCAGACTATGAAATTGAGAGTAGATAATCTTCAGAAGTAGATGCACAGACAACTGGCCAAGAAGTACATGCAACAACTGCACATATATCTATATAGCTGTTTGTTTCCTTGTCACAGCACCGTGGCAACAGCAAATGTCAGCGAAGACACAGGCAGCAAACGAGAAGAGTACAGCTACCCCTCAACTCATCTCAGATTGGAACGGTGGGATTTATAACTGTTGCTGGTGAGAACCAAAGACATGCAAGCTTGCCCTGTTAATTACCCTCTGCACCCCGGATTGGAATGTGGGGCAGGATAGCGTTGCACATCGTAAATTATTGGACAATAAACGCACGTCAGCACGCTTGGGGGGATGACCGTGTTGCCATGTGTCCTGGAACTTACCGGCAAAGCCCCAGCCCTTGCATCCTTGTCAAGTGGCTCTTGCACTTCGGGCGACTTGTACATGGCGGGTCTGTACCAAGCAGGCAGCCATTCCATGTACCTTGTTCCGGAATTGAGTGATGTAGGGGCCTTGTAGGAGCCTGAATAACTCGAATAGGGCTTTTGGGGGTTTCCTTATTCTACATATAGTATAATATACCCCAAACCCCTACATTTTTCAGTAAGGCGCCTTCTGCAGGACGCCGGGGTGGTTCAAGACGGGGGGGACAGAGGTTTCGTAAAGCCAACAAGGGTCCCCGAATAGCCCATGTCCTCGTCGCGGACTACATACAACGGGGGAGGTTTCCGAAAACAGGGGACCCTGAAAGAATACCCTAATAGTAGGATCCTTGTTATAAGGACCCCAACTAAGGTGTCCCTCATTTTGGAAACTCCCAAATTACCCAGTCGCCCCTAAAACAAACAGGTTGGATGGTTTGCTGCTGTTCACTTCGACAAAGAAGCCCCCGATAATAAAACCGTAACGAAGACGAGAACTTCTGGGAAACTCACATTGAAACATCACTTGCATGCGATACCTCCCTCTAACAGCAACATTCAATCAGCATGGTATAACCTCGTAAACGTAGCAACTTTATCCGCTTCAGGTCCCTCTTCCCGTAATTACACTCTGATCAGTCGCCAAACGACCTTCAATCCTAAATCACCGAGCTCGCACACCCTGAACCAAACTCCAAGGACCTAAGCCCAAGCCCAATGAAGACAAACCATCACCCGCCCAACCCCTCTCCGCCACTGAAACAAGCAACAACACGGGAACACGCACGTGCATGCAAAAGCTTTAAACACTCTAAGCCCAGAAGCGGCTCAACAGCTTAAGCATTCAGCTTCGGCACGACAAAACGGCGATCGCCAACGCAACGGCTGTGCCGACCAAGGAAGCCGCTTTGCCTCTTTTCCTTAGGTCTGTTGGAGTTGTTTTGGATGAGTGTTGCGTTGAAGAAATCGAACCATAAGTCTAGTTGTACATTACCAACGGGGATTTAAGGGCTACGCTCTGGCATTATATAAGGTTTACAGTACCCCAACACTGTTGCAGGTTACCTACTCCACTACGAAATGCCTTGTTGCTTCCATGGTCTGAAGAGAGGCGCAAGATCCAGACTTCGGGTCATGCCTGCATTGGGATAACTTGACAGCGGCGATTTCCTGGAACCCTGTAGAGTCTCATGGAAACCCGAAATACGAGTCATCAAGGCTCCTATATCAATTCGACAACTCCCTTTGTGAAACCCTTGTAAAACCTGATCTTACTTCCGATGAACCCCTGTATGAAACGACTGTAATCCATATGACAAAAGAAGCCAACCACACAATCATCACGACGACGGGCCTGACAGTCCAAAACCCTGAGCCCTCTTCCAAAACCCACATCTTTAGTTTAGGGTTGAGGGTTTCGGGTTAGGGGTATAGGGGTTTAGGGACATGCGAGAGAAGAAAGCCGCAGATCTCAAATCCTAAACCTTGAACAACCCAATACCCCACACAAAGATGAAACCTGAAAGGAAGCCAATTACAAACGATTGCGTTTTGGGAAAAGTGGGCTTGTCGAGAAGGCAACCCTTAGCCACGGAAAAGCCGAGCTTCAGCATGAGCAGGAGCCAAACCTTCCAAGTCGCTGATGCGTGCCAGCTGTGTGACCAGAACTCTTGGATGCTCTCGGACTGGCTGCCTGTGCTCCACGCTGCTATACAGCTATGCAAGGCAGCATTGTAAGCACTATCTTTGTCCTCACTTAACTCCACGTATTGTTTATTACCTAAACACTTCACATGTATACTTTCAGTTGCAACAATACTCACGGAAGCCGCCACTAGGACAGAGCAGAAGGTTGTCTAGTATTCTGGCACTGCTACTGGTACGGCTGCAATGTTTTCACGCGGCTGCTGAATCACGGCCCGTGTGATGCGTTCAGTTTGCACTCCACGGTTCTGAGCTGTTGTCTTACAGCTTAGTGTGTTCAAAACATCGTCGTCACCATCATCACCCTCACTCAGTGCAATCTATACCATGTGCGCCGACCCTGGTACCTTAACGTGCCCTGTACTGATGGAGCCTTACGGCAGTGAGCACCCGCAGGAACAACAGTCTGTTCAAATCCTAGACACCAACCCATTCCCCCATTTATATACTAAACACCTATTTATGATGAAAGCACTCTGGGGTCAATCCTCGCGAAATCATCCCTGCCGTGTAGAACCTGACTTGGATTAGCGGGGGTCCGGAGATAGAGCAGGAGGAGCAGGAGCGAGAGCAAGAGACGCAGCAGGAGCAGGAGCAAAGGCCTGCGTGGGAGAGCAGGAGACCCCCCACTTGCCAGTAGGGGTAAACGTACTCCCTACACTGGTTTCATATTCAGGGAAGGGATTAAGCTAACACCTATCACACGCTACCAAAAACTTCAAACCCTGAAGTATCGTTCTGAGATATCATATCATGCAGAATCCCTGTAGTAATAACGCTTTTTACGTCGACCTTCCAAGGCTTGGACTGCAATCCTCCAAAGCAGGCTGGTTTAGGGTTTAGGGGTTTCACCTTTATAAACAGGCGACGAAGATTTTACATACGATTTTTTTGTAAGTTCAAAGACGAAAGACTCTCGCTTGCCGAAGAAGCACACTGTCGAGAGGATTTCTATGGAGCATCGGGTGCCAAAACGGAGTCCGTTCCAGATTGAAGGTTACAAGGTTTAGGATTCCAACATGTATTGAAGCATACTGTAGGGTATGTTACTTGGCATTTGCTATGGTATCCAAAAAGCATTGTCGCATTATCGCAATTTGTCGAATACCTTCGTGCATTGTAGTGTGGGCTCCACCCCGGATAGGTTCCCGTTCAGGACCTTCCGGAGGGGCACTATCGGCTGTTCTCCGCAGCTGTACGTCTAAACGAGCTACGTCCGGGAATTGTACAGGGTTCAGGGTTCAGGGGTGATGGTTAGGCTTTTCAAGTATATTATATGATCCCTAAACCCTTAAACCCTAAAAATATATATGTGGGCTATGGGCATGCGCTTGCCATATGTAGTGAGTATGCCCCCGGAAGCTCCATGATAAGGAGCCCCCCCAAAATAGAATAGGTGATTATTATTAATTAAGGCCTCTAGAGGGGTGGTTGTCAAAATTATGGTCCCTTTTTTGGGTCCGAAAAAAAATCGGCACCAAATATATGGGGTACCCAAAAACGGGCCCTAGTTTTGACAACAACCCATATTGCAGCCTATGCCTTGGCCACAGAGGCCCAGCTGCATCCCTAAATCCACAAGATGCCAGGTGGCCCATCTGGTACAGCTGCTCGGCGTCGATATCGATGTTCCTTGCTATGCTCTGACACTTGCATCAGAATCTTAGCACATGAAACCCTAAACTGCCCCGAAATGGAGGGGTGTTGAGGGTCCAGGTGCACCCTAAACTCAGTCTGAACTGAGAGAGAAAGCATTCCTTATTTAAGTGTCCAGTACTTTAAGGGATCTCAAGGTTAACCTTTCGGATTAAATGGGCTTCATAGTATCCCCAGAAAGGCTAAACGTTACCTGCTCTACTAGGATTATATAGGCTTCATAGTACCCCCCAAACGGATAAATGTTACCTCTACTTGGACTCTCTCTCTCTCTCTCTATATATATACATATATATATATATCTCTCTCTCTCTCTCTCTCTCTCTCTCTGTAGGCTTCATAGTACCCCCGCAAGAGGCTAAATGCTACCTACTCTACTACTCAGATTCAGCCGGACGGGCGTCCTCAGTACGCGTCCGAAGTTCTGCAGGACCCGTCCGGCTCGAACTGCTCGAACGACGCCTGGAAGAATCCCATGGTCCAAAGTACCCAGACCTTCCAAAAAGGGATATACCTTAATTCATATAAGGGATCCTATTATAATTTAAGGTATATTCCTTAATTAAGGGATTTTGGAAGGTCTGGGTATCTGTACAGTAGAATGTAGGGCTTCTATTATGATTTGGGGAACTATCCCCTAGAGGAGTACCTAGGACTCCGAGGACCCTTTTGGCTTCCTACAACCAAGGGTCCTCCTGAAGGGGTCCTACTTGGAGGCCCTGTTGACTTAGTAAGGTTAGGGGTTCCTTTAAAGGGGTCCTAAAAGGGATCTATAGGGGTTCCTTAAAGGGATCTATAGGGTTTAGGGCTTAGGGGTTACTACTTAGTATCCCCTAGAAACCCTATTATAATCCCCATAACCCACCTTACTAACCCTACTTACTAAGTCAAAAGGGCCTCCAAGTAGTCTCTAGGAGTCCCAGAATCACTATGTCCAACCTGGTGGGGTAACTAAGTTCCCTGTTCCCTGAAATTCCCGGATAGCGTCGCGGTGCTCATATCGAAATCTGATACATCAGATACTCTGCACAGCTGCATCTGACATTTCTGTGTGCGCATTGGATGTTCGAGACTGTAGGAGACAGTTGAGTAGGACCTAAGAGCGTGGGGCATGAGGGCATGAGGCATCAACCGAGACTTTAGGCAGCCTCTATGGTGCAACTCCTGCTTCTTGTCTCCAGCTTCCCTTAATTAAGGAACCCTATATAAATCATATTAGGGATCCTAGTATAATTTCAGGTATACTCCGTAATTAAGGGATATTGGAGTCTCTGGGTCTGACGGCAGGGGACACATGATATGGTTCGTGTACTGAAGGGGCCTCAATGCATGGAATAAAGCCTACAGACCCGGACCGCAAGGCTATAACAGTTACTGTTCATGCTGCAAGAATCCCAAGACAGTCCTAGGGAAACGCTGCAGCCCAAATTCCTAAGGACTACCTCGCCTCGTGCATCAACCTCGAAACATATCCGATACATGATTTTTCATCCCGTCGAGAAAAGAGAGTGTAAGGCTTAGGCTTGCAGGGCTTGGGGGCCGGAATCATACTCTCCCTTTCCACATCTCCCGGCCTGGACGTGTTGCCTGCCGACTGGCAATGAAGTCCACAATGCCCTTGTTAAACCTGGACACTACAAGCAGGACATGGGCATTCCTACCCCCGAAACTGATGTAGAGCTTGAACGCTGCGTATCGGGTTTCACATGTTGCGTCAAAGGGACTTAGACGAGCTAGCATGAAGCGGCGACGATTGTTTGCCTTCCTGGCTTTGTGCAACAACAAATGATCTACAGCCGCAGAGTAGTTACAGGAACAGAACCCTACACCCTGCAACCCAACAAAGACCTAGACCCCAACACAGCCAGGTGTCTCGTCCACCTCTTCCCCCGGATTGTCAGACCTCGTCTTGTTCACTTCTGTTTCGCCTACGATTCAGGTTAGGGCTTCAAGGCTTTCAATCTAGCGATCTGTCAAGTATATACATCACTAGACCACGGACCGCAATATTCCGTACGGTCTAGGGTTTAGGGGAATGAAGGAATACTGTTGTGCCTAGCCGTGAAATAATACCGTTGTCCATGATATGATCCGTAATTCAAGAACAAATCATACGTATGCCAGCATTACAACGATCATAATTCGATAATGAAGAAAACTACCGCAGTTGATGTTCTTACCAACATGTGCTGCAGTGTGCCCATGTTACTATTGCTACTGATGAAAACCCTGGCTACTAGCATTACTAATATGGTCATTGCAGTGACTACGACCTCTGTTCAGAACGATATATCTTGATGTTACCATCATTACTACTACTCTTGCTACGATTAGTGTTGGTGCTACAGTCATTCCAGACTGTTCCTGTCATTGCCATCCCACCACTGATCGTTTTCTTTATTGCCACTTTTTTCTTGTGTTACTGTGACTACGAATCTGGGCATGACTATTGCTATTCCAGTTATTCGTATGACTATTGTTGAACGTGTACTGCCCTATTCGGGTCCCACATGGACAGAAACGCTCTGTACCGGAATAAATTGGTGTCTTGATAAGCACAATAAGGCCTAGGACGTAGAGTATATGTATGTTTAGGCATCTACCTACCTATCTATCGAACTGCATATACAAATGAAGGAAATTTGGGGAACATTGCTGGCAATTCTTCAGGGCTCTGTGTTCGGGCGCGTGCAGCGATAGCGACCAGTGGCACCCGTTACGATGGATACGATGCTCGTTTTGCTTCTGGAAGGGCGGATGATTAGAATGTGGCTTGGCGGGGTGTGCTGTACTAGCATGGTCAGATCAAGGAACACTCAGGAACAACTAGTCAGGCTTCTCATTATGTTGAAGGGCTTGGCTCACGGTATACAGGCTGCCAGGAGGAGAATGCTGCACGAACACTGTAGTATTGGGGCCCCGCAGCATTTAAAGAACTCTGGGGTATATAGGGTAATAAATTCCCAGAGTGCCAACAAACAACTCCAAAATCGTAGAAGAAGCGGCCCAGATCGCACAGAAGCACAGGGGGATCGCGGCGGAGAAATTGTATCAGCAGCCATGGCTCCGTCTGGTATGCTATTTGCCCGCACCGCGTCCTTGATATTGTTATCATTTTCCTGTATACATGCACGTGTGGACATATACATATGATAATATAGATAGATGTGTTGCCACAACAATGTCAGCAGATGTAAATTATTCATCGGTGTGTGATTTCATCTGCCATGTCGCCCGATCTGTATTTGGCTTGGAGTGGTTCTGAGTCGCTGTTCGTTTTAGCAGCTCCTAAATCCCATAATAAAAGCCGGCCGCGGACCTGACGCGCAGGCCGGCTTGAGCATGTCGGATGCAAGACCACCGAGCAAGTCTGGGTTTGATGTGCGGGCGTGATAAGGCTTACCTAAACCCCCTCAACTAGTCCCAGTTCTTGCTTGACGGGTCCCGAACACACCGTACATTATCCCAAACCACCTGCTCGAAAACCCCAAACTCCCGCAGCCGAACCTAAACCCTAAACTGCCCTAAACCCTAAACCCTAAGCCCCATGAACCAGAGGCATCTAGCCTCCCTCATACCGCCTCGCTCCAGCTGTAGGCTTCTGTAGGGCTCAATAAAATAATTAACTTAGAAACCTCTGCAAAAATGCTAGTAGTACAATTCCGGAGGGCTGGTCTGTAGAATAATGGTACGATAATATGCACTAAGCCCCTATTCCAACTAGCAACGTCCGATCTAGTAAGAATACTTGTGTGAATAATGATCGCGCAAGCAGCTTCTGAAGCCTCGACTTGCGCCAGGCTACCGAGGAAGTTGGTCTCAGCGCCTCTCAGACAAAACTGTTGTTTAATGTAAGGCCTTGCTTATGATGCTGCTCTGTCGGCCTATGTAAAATTCTAAGGGGGTTCCGTTGGTGAATATTCAGACCCCTCTGTTCTTTGGCCGAGAAAAGCAACTATTTTATGGTCTTTACAAAGACGTGCACATGCATGCGTGCAAACACATTAAAAAACAATTGTTGTATATATGCAAAATGACGAGGGAGAGGGAGAGAGGTAGGGAGAGATGGAGAAAGAGAGAGAGAGAGAGAGGCGAAGGGCTGGAGGGTTGCACAAGTTCGAGCATTCTGTCAGATCGACTTCATGTCAAGTCTTTCGTTGCGGCTGCCGGGCCGTATGTAAGACCTTTTTTCTTGAGCCCTGTATTGCTCTGTCTGCACCCTGACCCCAAGCTGTTATCCCCGAGGACTCGCCAGCTCCTCCAGAAGCTAAAGCCCCTGAACATGTGAGCTTGCTTTATTTTTCAGGGTTTAGGGTTTAGGGGTTTAGGGGTTGGGGGTTTCGCGGGTTTGTTTTTTAGGGCCGATCTAGTCCTCAAGCAAGCCCTACACTGAAGTCTGGCAGATATTCCCAAAGGCATCCCTGTGCATTAAAGACTCACAACACCCCCTTCGGCCCTTCGACCTTAAACCATAAAGCCTTCGACCCTAAACACTAAACGCTAAACCCTTCGACTCGTACGCCCTAAATCGTCAACCGCGAGCAGATCGGAACAGGATACCTCAATTAGGGACCGTACCAGGCTTGCGTAAATCGCCCTTGGCGCCGTCACCAGGAATTCGGGGCAACCAGGCACTCAACTTACTCGCTCATTTCCTTCGCCACTCCAGGTAAACCCCACCAGTAGCCTTCAATTTGAAAGTGCATGAGTTTCCGAAAATTAGGGGTACCTTCTTTAGGGGTCCTTACAATAAGGATCCTACTATTTAGGGTACTATATTAGGGTCCCCCTATTTTCGGAAACTCCTTCATGAACTCTTTGAACTCTTGCCTCGTCCCTGGCGCTTTCCTGAGGAGTCGATCGGCTCCGCAGCCGTGAGGAAGGCGAAGACCCCCTGGACGTAATATAGGTTTAGCGTTTAGGGTTTAGGTTTTAGGGGCCTTAACAAGTAGACTAGGGCTCCCTTCAAAGGGGTCTATAAAGGTTACCATAAGGTCTGCTGACTATAAGGGTTTTAATATAAGGGCCTTAATAATTAGAATAGGGTTTTGGGGCCCATAATACTATAACGATATACTCAGGAACCCTCGCAAAATAGTATAGGTAAATATTTAGGCCCCTGGTCGTAGCTTTTTAGGATTGATGTTCTTGGTGGCAGGCCCTTCACCAAGCCCTTTTCTAACCAGTACCAAGAAGCCACCTGAGGTTAGTGGGTTCAGGGATTTGGGTTTAATTTCGATATTCGAGGGTTTGGGCTGAGGGTGTTTACGGAACCTTTTGAGCATCAGTCGCTCGCAGCATCAGGCTTCCTTCTGATGCTCCTCCTCGACATCATCTTCAACAGCGGCATCAACTTCTATCCTTAGGGTTTGGGTTTAGGGTGTAAGGTTTAGGGCTATTCACCATCATCAGCATCTGCATCTTCATTGGTCTACAACAAGTATCACCATCATCCCCAGTCGCTGGAGCTTATACATGCACTGAAAAACAACAGAGATGCGAACCAACTGGACAAATACCCCAAAACCCTGAACTAGCCAAACTTCAAAATCGAAATCGTGAGCTTTGTCTTTGCAAGTCCAAACCGATAAACTGAAAAAAAAAGAAGCTCACACCTACACCCCTAAACCACTGCGCAAACCTCAAAATCCCTAAAAACCTAGAGGCCCTAAACCCTTAAAGGGAACTCCAGAAAGTTGGAATATGGTTTCAGGGTAGGATACCCTATAATTTACCATAAAGGGCTTAGGATAATCATATTCCAACTTTCTGTTTTTTACTGTAAATGAACCTCCTTCATCCCTGAACCCCTGCACCCGGGGAGCCTGAAAGAGCCCAGAGCGCAGTGCTGCGGAAAGGACAGCTCGGCGCTGGGCGGCAGAGAGGCCTCTGCCAGCGGAGCTCCGTGCCGCGATCTATATGATGATTGTGTGTGCATGTATGTAGGTATGTATGTATGTGAGTGGGTTCATCTACAGGTGTAATTACGTCCAAAACTTTTAGAAACAAGTATATACAAAACCGAACGTCTTTGGGGTTTATGTATATATATATATATACATACATACATACACACGATACACGGACATATATGTATAAGATGGACAAATAGTTGTACATGGCTGTGCGTGCATTCAAAAGATAATATACATGTTAGTAAACATGTGTATATGTTGGAGTGTTTGATTACCTATTTCAAATATCAGTGTTTTCCTTATCGTGAAATGCTGGAAACAACACAGAGAGAAACACACATATTCATATGTTTGTTGCACAGTAGACACATGCTAGCATCTGAGGCGTGACGAGGATAGGGATGGTACAGGGCTGGTCACACCCGAGAAAAGACGGAAAGCAAAAGCGTCTCAAAACAAGGTAGCTATAGACATGATTCCTGGTACCCCGACTTTGAAATATGTGTTCCTCAGCCAGAAACTACGAGTACCCCTTTAAGCATGTGCAAGGCCTTCCAAGCGCAGCAGCAATTTGCCAACAAAGGCTTCACCTCCATCGGCAAGTCTTCGGGCTGATAGCTCACTCGTCAGTTTTAGGGTGTAGGGGTTATGGGGGGTTTAGGGGTTTAGGGGTTTAGGGTTTAGGGTTTAGGGTTTAGGGGTTCAGGGTTTCAGGATTCAGGGTTTAGGATCCAGTATGGAGCCCAGTAACTCTGTCTGTGTGTTGGTGGCTGAAGCCCCAGGCAAGACAGGCGAAGGTGGTTCGCTTGCTGCAGAGGTCAGCGACCTGGATTCGGGCTACCATTCCTCGACACTAGAAGGTGCCATGGGTAAGATCGAGAGAGAGACCATACAGTTTGGGCTGTAAGCTTGCTTTGCGTTTAGTATGCAGTTGCCCAAACCCTAAACCCTAAACCTAGCCGGGAGGAGCCTGGAACTGGGAGTATCACTAGAGTCACTATACCTCATCTCTCTATTACGGTGCTACTTATCCGGCATGAACTTCGGAGGTATGCAGCCTCTATATAAACTCCAAGACCTGAGACAAAACGAATGCGGCTTAATTAAACGTTAGGCCTTAGACCATAATCTCCATGGCGCAAAGCGCTTCATTCAGGGAGCACATAAAAGAAGACACTCCTGTACTCCATGTTAAGCCTACGGCCTTTTTGGCTAGCTTCATGTTTCTCTTTGCGGGAAACTCTACAGAGAGAGAGAGAGAGAGAGAGAGAGAGCAGGACTGCTCTGAACCCTAAACCCTGCAACCCTGAAGCCTTAAAACCGAAAAGCCACCTGACCCAAACCTCTGAACACCCCGGAAAAAAAAGCGCGAAACAGAAATCCTAAAAACCCACCGAAAATCCAGAAATGTGAGCCCTAAACCCTAATCCAGGCCCCGGTGCCTTCCTCGACTTGAGGCGTGGTTCCCTCGGAGCTTCGGGGGATGTGTGGGTGTTTGTCAAAGTTAGGGTCCCGTTTTGGGTATTAGGGTTTAGGGTTTAGGGGTTTAGGGTATCCTGAATAATAGTTGCCGTATCATCAATATTAAGGCTAGTTTTGACAACCACCCGTTTGGGGTTTAGACCTATAGTGTTGTTTTTGTGTTTGCTTTTTGTTGGTTCTTCTCCAACTTAGAGGTTTAAGGTTTACCTTAAACCTGAATAACCTACCCTTTTAGGGTTCCTCATTATGATTTCCTTATATATATATATATATGTCCTTAAAACGGTAGGTCCTTCCGGGTTAAGGTAGGGCTTAGTGGTAAAGGCTTAGGGCAGATTTCGGGTTTCGGGGTTCGGGGGTCCGGCGCTCTGAGAAATTGTAGGTTTCGGGCTGTCTTTGCTAGGTTGGGGTTTAGAGTAACTTTCGCGGTTTTCGGTTTGGAAGAAATTGGAGGGTTTCGGGTTTATGATGAAGCTCTAGGTTTACGGCTGTCTTTTCTCAGTGGTTGCTTAGAGTAACTCACGTGGTTTTCGGGTGTTGGAGGATTTAGGGCATAGCTCAGACAAGGGTTCTTGAAGGGCTCCACGGGATGCCGGTGCACTGCTTGGTGTTCTGCAAGCCACTCATTGTTTATAGTGGTGGCACTTTCATGAGGATCCGAAGAG